CGCTTTCGACTTACCGACTCGACCCTATTCCATCTCGAAGCGAACCGAAGACCCGATTCACCGACAAGTTAAGTTGTGCCCTAATCTGCATTGGGTCAGTTGTAACCCTTTTCGTTTGATTTTGGCCCGAACTATTAGGACCCATCCCACGACCTCCAACTCCAAGCCTCCTCAAAACATCATTAGCATGGCCCATTGGGACTTGGGCTCCCACTTTGCCCCTTCGGACCATTGCTTTCCCTTGATATGCGGCCATCTGAGCTACACCCAAGGTTTCAAAATGAGGTGTTACGTAACGGTTGGGGCGGTAGGCACCACGCGTTACCCTCGCTTTTGCAACATGATTGAGATTCACAGGTGTGTCGGCCGTATCGGCCGTCGTAGCAGCCGTAACAGTGTCGTAACGGCCGTAACAACCCGTTACACACTGTGTTGAGCTGATTCTTTTAAAAAAAAAACACAAAAGAAAAAGCTGAAAAACGGTGGATGCTCAACAAATTTTGTACATACCTTTATGATTGAACAGATTTTGTTTTAAGGTCTTTTCAACCGGTGAACCACTTTGAGCATACTATTCAAAATACATCCACAAATTTTCAGATCTTTAGAAACTCTGCAATTGATTCAGATCTTCAGATCCACAAATTTGAGACCATCTTTAATTGAGTTTCTGATAAAAAAATAAAGAAGAGTGGTTCATGGGAAAATGAAGACAGAGAGAAGAGAAAATACGGAGGAGAGAGAAAGAGAGAGAGAGAGAGAGAAGAGAGAAAAGGGAAGAGACGAACTTGTGTTGAAGATGAAGAGGGAGATGAATATTCAAGGCTGCCTCTGTGTTGAAGATGAAGAACCTGTGTGACTCTGTAAGTGGTTTTGTTCGGTTGCCTTTTTTTTTTATTTTGTTTTGTTTGGCTGCCTCTGGTCTCCGACTACTAAAGAACCTTAGGAAGATATGTAATCATTTGTTTTTCTTTGTGTGGTCTCCAACTGGCCTTTTGTTTTGGTGTTTTTTTTTTTTTTTTTTTTTTTTTTTTTACAATAATCTCCAGCTGGTTGTTTGTGAACCAAAAAAAAATATGGTGATATTTTAATTTAAAAAACACATATATATAGCTAAGCACTTACTTTAGCATTTTATATATAATAATTAGTGGTTGATTTTTTTTTATTTATAATATTTAAAAATCATAACATCTATAATTATATTAATACATTTTATATATGTCAATTTTTATTGATTTTATTTTTTTCTTGTAGGTTATTCAAAAATATAACAAATATTCAAGTGATTGAAGCCCAAAAAACAACTATGTATGAATTTTTTTCTTTATAATTTATTTTTTAATTTTATATGATTACATTAGCATGTAAAATCTAAATGTATAAATAGTGGTTGCATTTTTTTTATAATCATTTTATTTAATATTTACTGATAAATATTTTTTATTTTGTTATTGTAATGTGTTGTGATAACAATTTTTATGGCACAATTTTTCTAAAAAAATATATTTAAAAATAAAAATCAATATCTCAAAAAAAATTCTTTATAATTTATTTTTTAATTTTTATATGATTACATTAGCATGTAAAATCCAAACGTATAAATAGTGGTTGCATTTGTTTATAATTATTTTATTTTAAATATTTCTTTATTTTGTTATTGTAATGTGGTGTGACAAACAATTTTGATGGCACAATTTGCGTAAACAAAATGTCTTTTCTATAAATTAAAAAAAATTAAAAAAAAACATAGCTCAAACAATGCCATGAAAAATGTCTTTAATCCTGATTACATTAGCATGAAAAATCCAAATGTATAAATTATTTAAAATTGTTTTAAAACCCAATAAATATGATTTTGAAAAAATATATATATACGTATCGGTAAGTTTTTTGCAAATTGTGAGAAAAATAAAAAAATTCACAGTTCCAGTTACCGCAACTGTTACGCTGCAGCCTTTACACCCCGCAACTGCAACCGCGCCACCACCACCATTACAGCGACCACAACAGTTTTTCAGAACCTTGGCTACACTAGAAGCCCAGCCCCCTTTCCTAAACATATTCGGCTTGCCCCGAGGCCCAAGACGACATTAATATGCACCAAATCTTTGAAGAGATTCCCCAAATCCCTCAGCCCTAAAAATCCTCCGCTCTTCACGCCTCCATATGCGACCTTCCTTTTGCTTCGAAGCTCCACCTCGCATCTCCACCGTCTGCCGAACAGCCTCGAACGTTGGCCCTGCTTCTGGCCACAAAGTTACCATATCCCGCCATGACTCCCATCGGAGCGAGATCTTGGAAGGAATACTACCACCACTACGAACTTGCACTTGCAATCGGACCACACCAAGGTCCGCCAAGAGTTCATCGACATCCACCAAACCCCTACACCTGTCGCTGATGGCCCTGTACGTTGCTATTCCGCGAAGGTGTAAAGGTAAACCTACTACCCTCAGCCACACTGTCTTCTCCAATGCCATCCTCGTGTCACATAAAGCCGTCGGTGACCACCATTGCAAGCTCAAATCATGGCCGGTGATAACCCACCGACGCCGTAAAACAACCCCAGCTTCTCGCCATGAAGGGAACACAAATAGGAAAACTTGGGCCCCCACCGGTCAGATCTTCACCCTCCCCGACGTCTTACACCATCGATCCACCCACTCTGACATGGCTGAAAAGCCCACACCCTTGTCCCCCGCCTGTCCTACTGTTCCCACCAAAGCCCTATTCAACAAGCCAAACCACCCCTCCTCCGCCATAGCCTGAATCAACTGGCCACCGTCACCGATGGGAGCCAAACCCCCTGCCCTCAACGAAGCAGCCCTATGCCCCACTGATGTCCCTCTCATGGCATCAATCATCAAAATCCAACCCTCCCTATTGGCAAATCCCTCGATGACCAGAGACACACCCTCCCACCCATCCCCAAACTCCGAAGCAGGGATAAAGTCTGAAGCCGCTTACCATCCACCGTGACCACAATCTGAAACGAAGCCCGCCCTCCTCCTTACCACGAATCCAAACTGCCACACTCTGCCGATTCCTATCCAAATGACCCAGAAAAGATGGGGTCCCAATGGGACACGAAGCCTCCCTCAACTTCTTCACAATCCATCCTACTTCAAAGCTGACCAAGATCACTGCTCACCGTAATCCTGATCCACGCTCCATAATCCCCAACCGCCGATGGCCCCATGAATCCACCGACTCCTCCTGGAACTCAAAGGATCGACCCCTCAGGAAAAGAATCCTGCGCCGTGGCCCATTCTTCGCCCTCACCGGAAACATTCCAAGTATCTCTCTCATTCCATCGGAAATCGCTTCTAAATTTGGAAATATCTCACTCCCCCAAAATTTCAAATGTAATTCTACTAAATTTTTCTTTTTTTTTAATTATATTTATTAGATTAGTATAGTTGATTTGGGGAAGCTGGTCCAAGGGGAACTAGTTATGCTCTATGCTATGCACATTTTACATATAACACTCACTGATGCCCCTCTCATGGCGTCAATCATCAAAATCCAACCCTCCCTATTGGCAAATCCCTCGATGACCAGAGACACACCCTCCCGCCCATCCCCAAACTCCGAAGCAGGGATAAAGTCTAAAGCCGCTTACCATCCACCGTGACCACAATCTGAAACGAAGCCCGCCCTCCTTCTTACCACGAATCCAAACTGCTACACTCTGCCGATTCCTAGAAAAGATGGGGTCCCAATGGGACACGAAGCCTCCCTCAACTTCTTCACAATCCATCCTACTTCAAAGCTGACCAAGATCACTGCTCGCCGTAATCCTGATCCACGCTCCACAATCCCCAACCGCCGATGACCCCGTGAATCCACCGACTCCTCCTGGAACTCAAAGGATCGACCCCTTAGGAAAAGAATCCTGCGCCGTGGCCCATTCTTCGCCCTCGCCGGAAACATTCCAAGTATCTCTCTCATTCCATCAAAAATCGCTTCTAAATTTGGAAATATCTCACTCCCCCAAAATTTCAAATGTAATTCTACTAAATTTTTCTTTTTTTTTAATTATATTTATTAGATTAGTATAGTTGATTTGGGGAAGCTGGTCCAAGGGGAACTAGTTATGCTCTATGCTATGCACATTTTACATATAACACCCATGGGTATAAAAGAATTTTTTCAATAGGTGGGGAACCACGCCCCCTGCCTGCACCCCTTATCATCTGCTACCAGTCTGGTAATACAAGCAATTGATCTCTTTGAATAGTTAAGAGAAAAAAGCTACTCATCACTTATGGTGGCATTTTGCAGTCATATCTTGAAGCCCTCCTATGTATTAAGGATTCCAATTAGTGCAAATTACAGTAGAAATAAACTTAATGTTACTGCATTTCCATAATTGTGTATACTACCACGCCAGCAAAAACCCAGAAAGTTTTTTTTGGGGGGGGTAATTGTGTCAGTTTTGAGAAGCCTTTTGATTTTCAAGCATAGATTTGGTACCAGTTCTACAACATTGGCTGATTATTTCATACACTAAATTGGGTAATCATTGCAACTAGAACCATGCTTGAAAGTAATTTATCTTTCAAGGTGAAGACTGCATTTTAATTTATGTCATGTTATAGATTAATCTGTTAAATGCTCATTGTATAGTATCACCAAATTTTCCCTATCTGGGATGGCTTACACGTAAGCAGGGTTGCAATTGCACCACAGGGACCTGTAGTCTCCGGATGGTTAGAACTTTACTCTCTGCAGATCCTAGATTCAGAACTTAATTATTCTAATAATAAATATGCCAAAGGAATCTTTGGTGAAACTAAGAAAAAACACAAATAATGCAATCAAGTAGGTATACAATATTAGACAGCACATAAAAAGGTCAACAATTGGAAAAAGAAAAAATGCCTGACCAGAAATAATCAGCCTCAAATATGTGTCCGAGTAAAATAGAGCAACAAGATTTACTTTTCTTACCAAAACTAACAGAATAGACAAGAAACAAGAGAACAAACTTTTACCTTTTGCGTGAACCAGTTTCAATAAGGCCTTCTGAATCCCCAAATGAGCAGTCAAATTCCACACTGGATACACACAACCATCAAGACATCACAAAATATATATATATATATATTTACGGCTTCCTCCTATATGAAGCCACCGGCAGGCAAACAAAATTCTCTAATAAGTCCAAATATATTATAGTTGTCCCTTTTTGAATGGTACAATGGTACCACTACGGGTGGGAATTTTTTACCTAACATGATAATATGACTCAAACCGTACACAAAGTTAGCAGGTGAGGGTGGCCATTTTCTAACACGAACACAAATTTGATATGATTTTGTAACACCAATATTAAATGGGTCAAATCAGTGTTGAATCTACGTAACACGAAGTTGACACAAATAACCTGTTTAATAAAAAATTAGCTAGGCATTTAATTTTTTTTTCCACTCAAGGATGCCATGACATTTTTGAATCACTTATATAACTCCATCCAGCTAAATAAAGAAACATGTAAAATAATATTTTAAGGCAAAAATAGTTTTTTTTTTTTGTGCATTTCATTTAAGATGGTGTACCTTTGTCTACTACATATCTATTAAAAATATATAATAATAGAGTATAGTTTTTGTAAAATGGAGACATGAAGTCAAGTTGAATTCAAACATTTTTATGAATAATATTATCCAATACAAATTAGTTTCATGAAATTTAACTTGTGGAGAAGAAAATTAATTTCGCCATACACTTGTTATTTTAACTAAAGGTGAAATTTTTAACATGATACATTAGCACAACACAAACTGGACACAGACCTAAAACCACATGACACGATAACATGAAAAAATAAGTGGGTTGGGTTAGTGTTGAGGTAATTTTGATACGAAACCAAAATCACACGATATGAACATTACCGACACGACACCCCTAGGTACTACTCTCTTGTTTTATTTTTATTTTTTTGATAAATTACTCTCTTGTTTTAATTCATTTATCATTTCATAAAAAGATTGCTACATGATCTTTAATACACAGTCCAGTGGGAACATAATCCTCCAAGTCAAATATGCATTGCCGTCTCCTTCACTAATTTGAAGATCAAACAAATCAACAATTATAAGGCAGTCCAAACAACTAAGAACTGGCCCATCCACAATTAAAGCAATAAAACGAAATTAAAATCAACCAATTGCTCTAGAGAATACTAGTAATTGCTAGCTTTGGAGTGCTGATTGAAAACGATATCCCGAGAATCTTTCAATTGTCTAAGTAAGGAAAAAGTTGACCCATCCCAACCTTATGCCAAAGTTAGGGGCAATTACTTTCCCAATATCACACCAACATTTACTAAACAAATCATAGACTCTGTTTTTTCCATTTATTCATAAAATATATGTGATTGAATGTAGATTGGCTTAGTCCCCAGCCAATAAATATTTCTTAATTTCTGAAAAGCTAAAAAATGGAAAATTTCTAAAAAGGTCCTAAAAAATTATTTTTCTAATATTCCCAACCACTAAACTTTCTAAACTACTGTAGGATAACAAAAGTGAAACCTCAAGTATCAAATCCCATTTTCACATGAAAAAACTACCCTTTAATTATCCTGTTCTTAGCTAAATAATAAAGGAGAAATTCAGGTTCCAAGTTGGAAATTTCGAAACAGTTACTTCTTGCCTTCCTTTACACATATGTATTGATTTAAAAAATTGACTGGTTTTCCTCGTAATTGTCAAAAAAAAAATCCGCAGCGGTGAGAAAAGGGTCATCCATGACCTTCAAACCCATGCAACTCGTAGGGCTAGGATGTCCAACAACCTAGTGTATTTCTTGTTCACAAAATAATAAAGCGGTTTTGACTGATACAAATTCAACACTTAATTGAATTATAGAAAGAAAGGTATAAAAAAAATTATAACTATTTCATTGCGTGAACAAAGAAACTAAAATCCCATTCAAACCACTTAGTCTTAACGTGACTGATTTTTCCCTATTTTCCCATCACTTTCTCAGCAGCCAAACAGAGGATTAAGAGAAAAACCAAGAGGGGGAAGAATTGACAAACCCTAAATCACAGGCCTGCGATGGCCAGCTGAAGCAGGTGGTGGCCGGCAGCGCCCCCGTGTAGTCTTCGCCTTCGATTAAGCCATAATCGAAGAGCCAATTGGAGTTGTCGGCACAATCGGTTTCCATCGTATTTTCGGGAAAATGTGAGTAGTGAGCTCTGTTTGGAGGAAAAGAAAAGAAAAGAAAAGGGAGAGTTGTTGGGGTTAGGATGACGAAGGAAGGAATGGAACTTGGAAGTGATGGCAGCGTTGAGAGTGAAACAGTGCATGCTGTCAGTTGTCAGCACCGCCGCCACACCATCACCAAAAATAAAGTAAACGCCTTTGCTTAGATTGGTTAATAATCTATAAGCCCTGTTTGGATTGAAGATGACTTCACTTCATACTTTTACCCTTTATTTTGTTTTTTTATATATATACTTTTTTTTCATTCTAAGTTTATATTTATAACAGCTCCGGTACATGGTCCGAAAATCGGGACTCGAATTTGGCTCGAATTTGAGAAGGAAGAAAGAGGAAGAAGAAGAAGAAGAAGAGAAGAAGGAAAAAGAAGAAGAAGAAGAAGAAGAAGCAGAACTGGAGGGGGCCATAAAAATGGAGCCGGAGAAGGAGGCGGAGGCGGAGGCGGGGTTGCGATGTGACAAGTGACGATCGGCCGACGAGCTGAGACAACGACGACGACGACGACGACGACGACTCTCCCTCTCGCCTCTCGCCTCTCGCCTCTGTTTCTCTCTCGCCTGTGTTCAAACGAAGAAGAAGAAGAAGAAAAGAAAGAAAGAAAGAAAGAAAATGAAGAAAAAAGAAAAAAAAAAATTCAAAACGCAAAACTCGAGTCAAATTCGAGCATTGATTTCGGGCCCTCAAACATTTTTCTATTTATAATATAAATCATTTATCTCGTAATCTCAATAATTTAGGTTAGGTTTGGCATTTTTTTAAAAAGTTAAAAAGTCACTATCTTATTTGAGTCATATCATCTTATTTAAGTCACATCACTTCTCTACTACATCACTTCAAACCCAAACACAACCCATATTTCATAAAAAATCAAAAAAGTGTATTTATTTAGAACATTCCAAACAAAATGAGTTATGCAAAAAATTAACTTCACTAGATATTACTAAAATATATAAACAAATTGCATCTTTTTTTTTTTAAATGAACAGTAATTGTTAGTTTAAATTTAAACATTTTATTCCATAAAAACAAAAAGTGATTTGTTTATATATTCATCGATATTCGATGAAGCTGATTTTTTGTAGACACAATCTTCATTGTGAGATTTATAATATGGGCCAAAAATGGAGCCCAAAAATAAAGTATGGAAAAGTATAGAAGATAAGAGTATGGAGAGAGCCATTTCTATTTGAACTATACTCCCTTCGAAATATTAGTCTCTTCTGAAAATTTAATTTTTTTTTAGTATAATTATTACATTTTAAAATTGCGCACTTTATAAAATTATCCTTTAACCTATTTTTTTTTAGTTTTTCAATTGTCATAATTATATTTTTTATATATGAATTTAAAAGAATGATAAAATAAAAAATTTATATTATTTAAATCATTGATTTTTTAAAAAAAAAAACTAATATTTTAAGATAATAAAAAATAAAATAAGAGATTAATATTTTGAAACGGAAAGAATATTTAGCGGGGCCATGGCCTAAGCACTCAATTAATGAAGGTTCATTATGCCAATTGCCTTTTTCTGTTTTTTTAATCTTTTTCAAAATTTAATTTTTATCTTAATTTTTTTAATCTCTGAATTGTAACAATTAAGTCGTTAAATTTCGATGTAACAAAAAAAAAAAGTGGTTAAATTCCAATTGAATTCACTAGATATTACTAAATATATAAATAAATTGCATCTTTTTTTTTTTTAAATGAACAATAATTGTTAGTTTAAATTTAAACATTTTATTCCATAAAAACAAAAAGTGATTTGTTTATATATTCATCGATATCCGATGAAGCTGATTTTTTGTAGACACAATCTTCATTGTGAGATTTATAATATGGGCCAAAAATGGAGCCCAAAAATAAAGTATGGAAAAGTATAGAAGATAAGAGTATGGAGAGAGCCATTTCTATTTGAATTATACTCCCTCCGAAATATTAGTTTCTGGAAAATTTAATTTTTTTTTTTTAGTATAATTATTACATTTCAAAATTGTGCACTTTATAAAATTATCCTTTAACCTTTTTTTTTTAGTCTTTCAATTGTCATAATTATATTTTTTATATATGAATTTAAAAGAATGATAAAATAAAAAATTTATATTATTTTAATCATTGATTTTTTTAAAAAAAATTAATATTTTAAGATAATAAAAAATAAAATATGAGATTAATATTTTGTAACGGAAAGAATATTTAGAGAAGTTGTATGCATTAGGCTGGGCCCATGGCCTAAGAAGCACTCAATTAATGAAGGTTCATTATGCCAATTGTCCTTTTTCTGTTTTTTTAATCTTTTTCAAAATTTAATTTTTATCTTAATTTTTTTAATCTCTGAATTGTAACAATTAAGTCGTTAAATTTCGATGTAATAAAAAAAAAAAGTGGTTAAATTCCAATTGAAGTTGCAATGGAAAAATAATTGAGAGTTCTAGAATGAGAACTCTAAAGGAGCTCTAGGAAAAGGTCTATTTATGATATGATATGTGTGTTTGTGTATTTTTTTTTCCCTTATCATATGTGTAGAGTTCTCTTTAGAACTCAATATTAAAACTCTCTATCATTGTTGGTTTCTATGTAATGTTTTTACTACTTTATCAATTAAAAATTGAGTGAATGTTGAAACACAAAAAATCAAAATGAGATTTAACTGAAAGTTTAGATAATAAAAAGTATAATTTTTTTCTTTAATGCCTCAAAAATATGTTCACGCGCCCATGGCATGAGGACTTTTTTGTTTTTTTTTAATAGTGAATGATGAGAGGATTGCATTGAAATAATAGGTGAAATTTAAAGACTTAGTTGTTGTAATTAGATGACAATGGATCAAAATGAAAATTGAATTAAAGTTGGAGGATAAAGAGTGTAATTTAGCCTTTTGTTTTAAAAAGTTAATGTGTTTAGTAAATGTAAAAAAATATTGTTTTGTGTGCGCTGAAAATATTAAGGAAAAATTCACTTATAGAGTCTCAAATTATAATATTTGTGTTATTTTATTCATTTAACTATCAATATTCTATTAAATTATTAACTTCATACTACCCAAATCATTAATGAGATTAACATTTTTGACAGAATATCACATCTATTGCCACACATTTTATTAATTAATGATTTTAATTCACTTTATCCTATACATATTTTTGGATACCATACAACAAAACCACGGCCAAACTTTAAAAAAAAAAAAATTATACAACAAAACACAAAATAAGAAAATGTATAGAAAAACCATTGGAGTAATATTCAGTATGTTTGGTTTTAATTTTCTGAATTTAGTTTTTTAGAAATTGAGTTTTTTATTTTTCATATTTATTGTTTTAAGTGAATATTTTTAAAATTTTAATTTTTTTTTTACTTTTTTAAATGCATATTACTTAGATGTATCTAAATAGTAAATATTTGTGAAAAAATATTTTCAAAAATTAATAAATACACAAAAATATGAAAAGTGTATTTCATTTTTTTTCTTTTTTGTATTTTTGGTATTTAGTGATTTTTTTTCACAAATATTATATTTTTTAAATGTATTTATGTTAAGTGTGTTTAAAATTTTTTTTAACAAAAAAAGTGCTTAAAATATTAAAAAATTTATTGAAAACAAAAAAATATAAAAAATATAAAAGTAAATTTTTTTGAAATTCTAAACTAAATAAGCTGATTTTTATTATTTGACTTCCTAATCAACTAAAGAATATGATCTTTCAGAGATTCTGTCACAATCATACCAACAAAACTCATATGAACTTATTCCAAAATTGATGGAAGAGCTTTTTTTTATTTTATCTTTTGCGTATCAAAATATTTTAATAAAGTTAAATTACTACAGCATGTGTGGCGATATTTTATTGTTTTGAAGATGAAATTTCACCATATCTAAATTTTCCATCGTAACCAGTTGAGCAGTCAACTACGGAAGGAAGAGCCAGAAGTACTTTTCCTAGAAGTTGATGGAAAAATTATTACTTGGTCGTGGGATAGGGTTATTTGGGGAAGATGGTAAAAAGTAATTTTTTAGCTTTTAATTAAGTTTTTGATTTTTTTAGACAAATGATTTGGGAAGTTGGTAAAAAGTGACTTTTGACTTTTTTATTAATGTTTGTTTATGATGTCAAATCATAATAAAATGACCAAACTACCCTCATTTATTTAAAATATTTACGACTTCACCTATGTAACACATTTTGACCCATGAGGGTAAAATTGTAATTTCACCGTTGGCTAAAAACCAACTTCCCAAATGAAAAAAAAGACAAAAAAGCTAACTTTTGACTTTTACTACAAATCAAAAAAAATAACTTTTAGCCAACTTTCCAAAATAGCTCATAGTATGTGATCATGCTTTAAGTTAATTATAAGCTCCCATGATTTTTTAATTATTTAATATAAAATTATAAATTTTATTTTCTCTATTAATTGTAATATATATAAGATATCACGTGACTATAGCCCTGTTTGGTAGAGCTGTGGGAAAGTGCTTATAGCTTATGCCTAAACAGCTTATACCTTATAACTTTCAGCTTAAGCTGATTTCCAGCTTATTCTTAAAGCATCTCCTGTCCCACTCAAAGAATAAGTTGATTTCTGACTTCCACAAAGTTATAAGCTAAACTAAACACATCAAAATAGCTTAAATTAAGCTGAAAGCTGAAATAAACTATAAATAATTTTTGTCAAATAGAACTATATCGCCGTAACAACGAATAATTCCTCAAGTCAAAGTCCCAGGTCACAGAAGTACTGTTCCTCGTCTAAAGGACAACAACAATTACATTGGATTCTTAGGACAAGTTTGGCAACATTAAATAGTAGTTAAAAATTAAAAAATTATTAAAAAAATTAAAAAATCAAAAAATTATATAAAAAAATTTAAAGATTCAAGTTTTTTTTTTTTCTTCTTACTTTTTGTATGTCTTCTTAGCAAAAAGTCAAAAGAATCACCTCAAACATACAATTATATTCACCTCATATTTTAATAGAAAAAATTTAAAAATTAATGAAATAATCTATTCTCAAACCAACCTTTAGCCTTTCGGATCTTTGTTTTGAGTAGCAATATCCTCTCTTTAGATTCTCTTTGGCTCTTTACTTGGTGGGCTATCAGGTCCACTTTTCATGATTCGAACTATTTACATTTAAAGATTTGTCATGTATTCATGCCTATAA